TATGGCAACTCTTGTATGTCATTGACCCTATTGCCAATAACCTCACAATAATCAAATATTGGTCTATCACTAATCTGTGGCACTTGTGTGTTTTCACAGCTGTCAGTTGTTTTTCTGATTTGTTGTTCTACAGTTGTCAGTGTGAACTAACTTTGTAAGCTGCTTTCCCACGGTTTGGCCTGCATGAGGATTTCCTCAAAGCATTTACAATACAGATTTGCCCAAGATCATGTAACGTGGAATCACGTCTTATAGCAGTGCATCTGCATACAATAATGTTCTCAACAGCTGCCTGATGCCTCAAACATTGTCTGAGAGGAATGCTGGCTTTGGTATACACTCTTGACTATACCAGTTGCCCAGCCAGTCACTGGTTCAACTGGAAAAAGGCACGGTATTGTGGCTTCTTTAAATTTTGTATTACATTTCTTATTGTGCCTATTCATCAGTGCACTTTATCCCCAAAAAAACAATGGATTTGAACGAGACATAACCACTTAAATACATGTAGACACTCTTGAGGGAAAAACCTTCAGCTTCCACGTCCCGATCAAATAGTGGGGTCAAAATTTGGCTTCAAACCTATAGCACGTTGTAAAAATGCATTCTTGTGATTGCCATTAGTCTTCAATGTCACATGATCCTTCAGAAATCAATCTAATATGCAGTATAATATAAATAAGGATAAATCCCTTTTAAAAGAAAAGATGGTCTGATTCTGTTTGGCCATAGGGATGTGAACACCTACACCTTTGTTTTCATTCTCCATGCTTGGTGAGATTTGAATGTGCTAACGCTATCATCAGAAAGCGTGACACGGGACGCTGTTTCATTCTGCAGTCCTGTTCTATCTGCACTCCACACTGAAGAGCGTGAGGAATGAGGACAGATACATCACACACTCCGCTCTCTTCATGCATGTGCTGTTATCTGAGCACGCTGCGATAGTGTGTGTGCAGTGTCAATTGACAGCTTTTCTCTATAGCTTAAAATACTGCACTCACTTGCCTCCCTGCAGACAACTCCCATTATAAAGACAAACAACAACATGTGTGTGTGTGAAGAATCAGTGGATGTGCTCATCCGATTCTTTTGTTGCTGCAAAGGGAACGTTTCTGACTAGATGACTGCATAATCTCCAAAAATTGTGTTACATGATTTGCTTGTCATATGGATGAAGTAGGCATCTAGATACTGT